TCCCATCATCTACTGTCCTTCATCTGTCCCATCATCTACTGTCCTTCATCTGTCCCATCATCTACTGTCCTTCATCTGTCCCATCATCTACTGTCCTTCATCTACTGTCCTTCATCTACTGTCCCTTCATCTGTCCTATCATCTACTGTCCTTCATCTACTGTTCTTCATCTGTTCTTCATCTGTCCCTCATCTGTCCTTCATCTGTCCTTCATCTGTCCTTCATTTACTGGTCCTGTTAGTTTCATGTGTAACTGGAGTTATGAATAAGGAATCGTCAGAATAAGATTTGTTTACTTCCTCTTTAAAAAGAATAAAAGTCACTGTTACTAAAACAAGAATCTATTAAAAATAAAAATGATGAAACCATTGGCGGCAACAACCAATCTGAGCATAGGAGAGGAGTCCAACAGCTGTCCATCACTGTTTCCATGGTTACCATGTTGGGAGATGAACTGATGATGTCACAGGTTCTCCATTGGTCTTTTTTACAGGAGGAGGTTTTCTTTGGTGTTTCAGTCCTGACTGATCTTCTCTATAAAGTTTTATATTCACACTGCTATGCAAATGTGTGTGTGTGTGTCTGTGTGTGTGTSTGTGTGTGTGTGTTTCTGCAGGATAAGATCTCTGCTTTGTTTAGAGACCGTTTCCTCCTGCAGCATCATTTCCATAAACAAATCCTGACGTGGAACAAACTGTCCTTCTTGTCCTCAGGTGGACGATGGACGTCACGTGTTTCTGAACAAACAGAGCTGACCCTGAAGAACCTGAAGAGTTTCTGACCGCTGCACCACCCACGTCCCTGAAGGTAAGCTCACCCCAGGTGTGGGCGTGGCCTTCTTCTCACCTCACATCAGCAGATGTGAAGGAAGTGGTCGTAAATAATCTACAACAGAGCAGAGCCTTCAGAGAACATCTGGATCAGGAGCATGCAGACCACAGAGTGTGGTTGTTGGTTCTACACCGGGCCTCTCTGAGGGTCAGTTCTGTCTGTCTGCAGGTTTATAAAGGCTCGGCTCGGGATCAGGACCATGCAGACCGTAAAGTGTGTGGTTGTTGGCGACGGCGCCGTGGGGAAGACCTGCCTCCTCATCTCCTACACCACCGGAGCGTTCCCCAAAGAGTACATCCCCACCGTGTTTGACAACTACAGCAGCCAGGTGGGTCCCTGAACACACCAGGAGCCCCTGAGGGTCACACTGAGACCTGGTCCAGCATGCAGACCACATCAACATGTTTACCTGTGTGTACCTGTGTGGTGCATTCAGGTGACGGTGGACGGTAGGGTCATCAGTCTGAACCTGTGGGACACGGCAGGACAGGAGGAGTACGACCGTCTGAGGACGCTGTCCTACCCACAGACCAACGTCTTTGTCATCTGCTTCTCCATCTCAAGCCCCGCCTCCTACGAGAACGTCAAACACAAGTGGCACCCAGAGGTCAGAGGTCACGCCACGCCCACAGTGATTAAAACTATAGGTCACAACACACACACACACACACACACACACACACACACACACACACACACAC